CCCGACCAAGTCCATGGTTGACACCCTCTCATTAGCATGTTGTGCAGAGGAAAAATAAATGCGGAACTACATTCAGAAATAAATGAGTGATCAAAGGAAAATAAATAGGATGAGTTTAGCATTTCCTTAAACATTTTCAATTTGCCCACCAATTTATTTTATCTATTTGCCTACTTTAATCACATGTTTAATTATTTCTATATGTATTTAAACAAGAATTTGTGTATTTATACACACATTTATTTATTTATTTGCATATTTATTTATTTGTGTATTTATTTATTTATTGTTTTTGCAGGTTTCGTCCTCCATACACGGTAGTGAATGTGTGGAATGTGATGTGTGGAAAGATGTGAATCCATTTTTAGTATCTGAAGTGATAAACTTTGTTTAAATGGCACCTGACTGCTAAAGAGTAGTCAAACTGGTAGAATTTCCTGGTGCCAGCACAAAAACTTCTGCATACTTGTGACATGAGGATATATAATAATAAGTTTAATTTATATAGCACCTTTCCCAAGCTCAAGGACGCTGCACAATGACAAAAGCAAATAAACACTCATGTCATACATACATGGACAAGACATTTTCCAAGTCCAGAACATGTGGTTGCAGTTGCATACCACAGTAATAATACAGTGTCTGTATATTTAAACATATGATAATAAATGACTTTGCTGCTTTAAGTTTTGTGACTCTTTCCTTTGATCACTGAAGCTGTTAAAAGCTAAATCGACTGTGACTTGTTCAGAATTGCAGCGTAAGCTTCCTGTCTCACATTACCTCAGAAAACAATCACTTCCTCCTTCAAAGAACAACAGAAAACATGCCCTGTTCTGAAGTTTGACCATGACACTTAACCATTAGTTAATATGACTGATAAGATATAACTGCAGTCTATGTAAAGTTATATATGATACACTCTCATAAACAACATGTTTTGTTTTAAATATAGACATAATTGTCAATTTTTGCAACCAAAAAAAACTACCATTTTGTAATATGGTCAAAATGTTTAATATTTATCTATGGACTTACAAATCTACACACACTTAGCCGAGTGTCTATGCAAGCTAATAGACCATAGACAGCATATGCATTGGAAAAGTAGTTTGATGCAAAAACATAGTTGATGGAGACTAATTCTCTGGGAAGGAAATGGAAACTTTTTGTGGTTATAGTGTCTCTGCATTGTACTGTAACCTCTAGTTTGATTAACACCTTTATGCACGACAAACACAATGGCGAAAGTCATTTTCTTCTTCTGTGTATTTTCTTATTGGATTATGCCTATTATCTCATCCAATGGTAAATATATTTTATTTCAAACATTATGCATTTAACTTATCAACCTTAAATACTATATCTATCATTTTAACATGGTCTAAGGATCAGTTTTTATAATGTCTCTCCAGATGCGTCAGTGCGAGGATCTTCTGATCTGCTGAGAGTTCAGATGGGAGAAAACATCAGTCTGAACTGCAGCATGAGAAACAAATATGAAGTCTCCTGGTATCACCTGAGATCTGAACAACTGGATCTACTGATTGCAGCAGAGAAGGACAACACAGGAAGAAAACTTATGACCAACTACAAAAAAAACAGTACTTTAGTGAAATTGACTGCAGACACATGGGTCACCAGAGTCTCTCTAGAGATTTCTGGAGTAACAGAGTCAGATTCAGGTCTTTATTTCTGTGGAACAAAGTCTGACGCTCCAGAGATGTTCTTCAACAAACCCATCAGACTAGAGATCGAGGGTAACAGATTTCAGTTTTTCCATCATATCTTAACAAACTTGTCATTGTAGGGGGACCTTACAGAGCAATAGTTTCTGATTTAATCCATGAAACTAGTTTTGTTGGCATAAATGCATAGGTTGATATATATTGAACAAATATTTCACATTCCTTTCAGAGTAAATTTTCAGACCACAAACATACACCTACCAAACCTTTCTTGATCTGAAAAACAAATTCTAAAGGTCCTGAAATGCCATTATCAATTTTATTGCATAAAGGACAACTTAAAAACTACTGAAGCACATTTTAACCCAGTCTTCAATATTCAACTAACAACAGTTTTGTGTGTAAACTGATCATATGTTTACAGGTCTTACTGTAGTACAAGAGACAAAAGAAGTTGACATCAAAGGTAAATGATGTTTAATTCATTGTTCGTGCTCTGCTGTGGAGATCCAGCACTAATTCTAGTCATCATTTAACACTTTCTGTTGTACAAACATGAATAATTCTCTGTCTGTGTAGACGAGGTGACGGTGATGGAGCGTGTGCTGATGTTCGGTGGTGTTGGTCTGGCTGCGTTAGTGTTTTTTCTGGCTACAGTCATTGCAGGAGGAATCCTTCACTACCGCGGTTGGCAGAAAGGATGGGCCGCAGCCAAACATGCATCTCGGATTCATCACAGATCAGCTAAATAACTTCTACTTAAGCTTTATTCTAACTCAATATATCCCTGAGCTTTGCATTGCTGTATCATGAATTAAAGCAGAAAACTGTGGCTCAGATGCTTTTCCTGTTGACCAGATTTACTTTCACTTTAAAAAAGCTGAGATGTTGTGGCAAATGTTGCATTTTTTCAATCATTAATGGTTGTGTGGTTCATTTGTGGTTGTCACATTTAGTTAAATATAAAAACACTGTTAATAATAATAATAATACGTTTAATTTATATAGCGCCTTTCCCAAGCTCAAGGACACTGCACAATGACAGAAGCAAATACATTCCTATATACATGGACAAGACATTTTCCAAGTCCAGAACATGTGGTTGCAGTTGCATACCACAGTAATAATACAGTATTATAATAACAAAAAAACAACAACAACAACATTATAACAGGTAATATTGGTCGAACATATAGGTTTTGAGTTTAGACTTAAATTCGTGGAGTGTGGTTATTGTCCGGAGGGCCAGGGGCAATATATGATGGTAGGTAGTATTAGTGTTGGGCACTAATAAAAAACAGTGTTTACTCTAGGCTGAAGCGATCACCTCATAACAGGGCTGTTCAGCAACAACCTGTGTGCTTTGATATCTGACCCCTGTCTTTGTACCAGAAGATAAATATGCAATGAAATCAATCCTTATTTATATGCAGGTTTTGTGTAATGCATTTGTGCAATATTTACAAAGGCACTTTACATAGTTTTCATTACACACTGATCTAAAATAATCCTTACATGATCTGAAGCCATTTTTATTCAGGCATATTGACATAAAATAATCCTAGCATGACCTACAACTCCATTTATCCACCCTGGCAAATATATACTGCACACTGTCATTCACAGGTTTCAGGTTAAGAGGTTTGTGGTTGAGTGCAGTAATATCTGTCTGAATGCTACTTGACCCAAAACTTGTTCAATGGAGTTAAATTCCCTTGTTTTCATGGTTTTACATGCCGTTTAAATCTGGTCGCTAGGTGTTGTAAGCACTTCAAAATGAAAAATAAGTCTTTTGTTTTGTCTTCTGTGCATGATACTCTCGACCTTGTATTGAACACCCCCAGCTTTTCTTTCTCACATAACCATAACAACTCTGGCCGATAATTACAGAATGCTTGTCTTTCTACAGTTTAACATCTTTGCTTATTATTACCAATGAACTACTTAGAATTAAAGAGAAGTACGACAGGCAAATTATCTGAAATGTTTTATAAATTCGAATCCCTTTTATTAACAAGTTATTTAACAAAATATTACGCTCTTTAAAAGAATGATAAAAATGACCCATAAAATGACAGACAAATAGGGGTTATATGCTGGTAATTGTCAAGAGGTTTTTGTATAATAAGAAACTAAATCTGAAATGAAGGATCTCTACCTATTATGAAACATAATTTGTCCTTTATACTTCGCTACAGCTGTTCAAAGGTCTAAATACAGCAATATAGCAGCAGTTTTTCAGTGGGGTTTTTTATGCTCTGTTATAAATTTGAATTATATTTGCATACTCTCTCTCTTATGTGAGCAATACAGGGGTCATCTGATGAGCTGTGTTCTTCTCTTTCCTCACCTTAGGTTGATTCTACAGCAGTATTTGAAGCTGTGAGTGCCAGCTAAAGGCGTTCATGTCAGACTGTATGTGTGTTATGGTTTGAACCTCTAGAAATGTCTATAGTACAGTCTAGAGATGCTCAGCTGCAGGCGTTCATGCAGATGTATGAGCTGAGAGCTGCTTGTAACGCCTGTACTCATAAACAGTCACGCATTTCTTACTCTATCATTGCAACGCCTCACCGTTGCTCTCACAATCTTTTGCTAGTCAGAGCAAAGTTCAGAGGTCACAAATGGAGCCCAGTGTCTATGCGGCCCTCTTATCCACGCCCTAATCGATATGAAGTGTGTTGGTACTTTAAGGAGGATGTCGGGTGCTATGTGCATCATGACCGTTGCACTTTTGCTAGTAGCCCAGAAGAAGCTGCGGTGTGGAACTTACAGAAACACACAAACCTTAATCACGAAAGATTAATTCATCTGATAACTCAGAGACAGCGCCTGGACGAACAGAGCAGACAAGAAGATGGTCAATCGAGAGCTCATGAGCCTTTGTCATACAAGGAGAAACTCCTGGAAGAGTACAGACGCAGCTGCAATGAGATTCTTATTGTAAGTATAATGCACAAAAAAAAAAAACTGCACAATGCAACAGTGCACAACCACGAAACTTTATTTTAAAAACTTATCTTGTGAATTTGAAACCATGCAAATTTAAGGGATAGTTCACTCAAATCACTTTTTTTTGCCTCATGAAACACAAGAGGAGAGCTTCTTATGCGTTCAACAGCTGAAAGAAATTCATACAGGTTTGGAACAATTTGAGGGCAAGTGATGACATGAGTTTAATTTTTGGGTGAACTAACCCTTTTAACCCTATTTTACTTATACTAACTTGACAATTAACAAATTCCACAACAAAATGTTTAATATCTTAGATGCATGTATGTGTATTTTTCAGATCTCTGAGCAGGTGGACGATGTGTGTGTTACACATGATGAGAATCTCAGTTTGGACTGTTTACGAGAAGACAGTGAAATCAGATGGAAATTCACAATCACCACGGAGGTCAGAAATACTAAACTGTACTAACCAGCATCATCTCACACTCAGCCGTATTGCACACTAGCTACTAATTATCTCTTTGCTTGTCTTGTGTGTTTGTGTAGAGGTCCTTGGCTCATGTGGCTCTACTGAAAGCAGAAAATGGCGCGGTTTTCTCTTTGAGTGACAGTTTAAAGAACACCTTCCCCCCAATCTCATACATTGCAGGCCACCACCTTCGCTCCTCTCACTCCACCTACCAGTTGAGTGTGTCGTTCCTGTCATTCCACCCCGGTGTGTACGAGCAATGGTTGATATTCGATTTCGACATACGTCCAGTTCTGCTCAGGAAACTGAAAGTGAGAGTCGGTCAGCAGTTCCATGTCCAGCCAGATGAGGCAGAAGAGAGTGAATGTGCTGAGATTTTTTCGGATGAGCGCTGGAACAGAGGAAACAGGGTTATCGTGCCCTTCTTTGCCAGAAGGAAGGAGGACGAGCAGTTACTTAGTAAATACAAACCACCCCAGATTAACCTACAGTTCAATCCTCATGCAGATCTAAGTTCCCCACTCCATCGGGACAATTACAGAGAGAGAGCTCACCACTTCCTGTTCAGAGAGGAAATCGCAGAGGAAGAGCTCATTAGCAGGTACAAAACGCTTGTATAAATAGTACATCACTTAAAACACCCCTGGGTTATGGGTTAGTATTTAGATTGGGGTGCCCAATCCTTTTCCTGTAGATGTGCGGTTATGGGTTAGTATTTAGATTGGGGTGCCCAATCCTTTTCCTGGAGATGTGCCTTCTTGCAAAGTTTAGCTCCAACCCTTATCAAACACACCTGAACCAGGTAATTAAGATCTTCAGGAGCACTTGATAATTACAAACAGGTATGTTGGTGCAGGGTTGGAACTGAAGTCTGCAGGTAGATAGATCTCCAGGAAGAGGACTGGGCGTCCTTGGTTAAGGTCACAGTCAAACTCAATTCCTGGAGGGCCACAGCCCTGCAGAGTTTAGATTCAACCCTAATTAAACGTACCTGATCCAAATACTACATGGTTTGTGTGTTGGAGCAGGGTTGGAACTAAACTCTGCAGAGCTGCGGCCCTCCAGGAACTGAGTTTGACACCCCTGGTTTAGGCAATCAGCAATGCTGAAACTAATTAAATCTTTAGAATCAGCCACAGGGTTTGCTGGTCTAGGGAAAAAAAATAATTTTTTCAATGTAGAAGTAAGCTATTTCTTAGGAATGTGCAAGACTTTTGATAAATAACTAGAAGAATATCAATGTGCAGTAAATAGTCAAACTTTATGCAACAAACTAGTGTGTTTAAGATTGCAATAAAGAAGTTAAAATAATATAACAACAAATACCATTTTGTAATATTAAGCAGCACAGCTTTTTTTTATTTTTTTTATTTTTTATTTTTTATAGAATTTAATTAATTTTTTTAAAATAGCTTTTTTTTTGCCAGTTAAAAATAAGGTGCATCTTTTATAAGTATAGACCATGGATACATTATGTTAACCAATATTTTAGTCTTTTTAAATGCAAATTCAAGCCTGTTCTAATGATAGTATAAAATGTGGGCAAAGTTCAACACACATTGATGTAATGTATAGATAAGACTAATGGAGAGGTGGATAAACAGGTTCGGGTTAGGGTTCGCAGGTGGATTCTATTATAATGATTGGTTCTTTAGTGCCAAGAGAGGTTATATCCTTATGGTAACAAAGATCCAATATGTAATTGTAAATAGTACTACATGCTGATCTAAGTCCAAGAACCTTTTGTTGATATCTACAGGGCCACGTCATCATTAGGGGAGTATAATTCATCTTATGTCACATTGTCAGCCACACAGACAGACATATTTACCCTAGCAGATGAGTTCCTGTATGTTCCTGGGGTTTTTAAAGGGGTCATATGATGCTTTTTTAAAGATCATTATTTTGTGTATTTGGTGTAACAGAATATGTTGACATGCTTTAATGTTCAAAAAACACATTATTTTTCAAATACTGTACATTATTGTAGGTCCTCTATGCCCCGCCTCTCTCAAACGCTTCGTTTTCTACAAAGTCCCTCCTTCAGACAAGTGCAGTCTGCTCTGATTGGCCAGCTGACCCAGTGCACTGTGATTGGCCGAACACCGCAAGCACGCGTCGGAAATGTAACGCCCCTTACCATAATAGCAAGCTTCATCTTTCAAAATAAATGTAAAGACAGAGCCCGAAAGGGAAACAGAGTCGCGTGACAGACACAGTAATGATGCAGTACACAAGCCATGGTTAAGACAGCTGACTCCACTGTGATGTGACCCCCTCTCTCTCTCTCTCTCTCTCTCACACACACACACACACACACACACACACACACGATGCGCAAAACTCCGCATTTGAACAGTCAATAGCAAATACTTAAACTAATAACAAAACAGTAGCTGATTCAGAAGCGCCAGATTGACAGCAAAGTCAGAATTACCTCCTCTCCTAGGTTCACGAAACGGTCGTCCATAAAATGCATTGCTGTTCTGTTGTAAGTAATCTTAAAGATTCCTAAATGCATCTACTTCCGGAAGGCCAAATAAAGTGCTTTTGCTTTCGCCTAGAAACACACAGCATCTCCCTGACATGGCTGCTTCAACACTAACTGCGGTTACTGAAACCACGCCTTCTTTCTTTGCGTGAACATTTGGGCGGCAAATTACACAAATATTTCCACATAGTGAGGTAGATATGTGGGGGCGTGTTAGAACGAGCCGTTTTAGGGGGGCGTGGCAGAGTCTTAACTTTGATAAAGAATATCTCTTTGGTTTTGAGACTTTAGTCTTTGCAACTTCAGGGATCTTATCTATGCACAATCAGCTTGTAACACTCCAAAGAGAAAGGAAAACTTGAAATCGCATCATATGACCCCTTTAAATCATCTGCATACAGATGAGTCACAGACTACTTAGTGTGGGTCACATGGCAACATTGTCCTACTACCTAAACAAATTCTACTTCTTTAATAGAATGTCTACATCTAAAATAATGTATTGTAATGTTACTTATTCCTCATCACATGCCTCTACCGCTGGAATTTGAACTCATTCAGGGACCAGAGGCATTCCATGCTATCACATAATGTAATGGTCTCTGAGTTTGATAATGCTAGACAGGTATAATCACTAAACTGGATATGAAAGGAACTGAAAGCAAACTCAATGCAAAGATTAAAGGCATTCTTTTCTAACAAGTTAATTGCTGTTTCCATGAAAGGTTAAAACATGGGCAGGGCTGCTTAAAAAATCTGTTGCCATTGTTATGTATAGCTAAGGCGGTGAAGTATAAAAAGATAAATAGATTGCTGAATGATGAGGTGGATGAATGGGTTGGCGTTAACGTTCAAATTGAATACTCGCATCAATTCTATATGTCTCAGTGGCAACACTATTGCCACTCTTTTGAACTCTTGACATATTTTAATGGTGCATGCTCATTTCCTCTTTTTTAATATTTAAATTACATATGTAATATATTAATGGTTCATCCTATTTTCTTCTTTTTCCACACTTGTAGATTAAATGTTTGTGGGAGCGTGTCTCTCTCTAAACAGTTGAGTGATGGCATATCACAGTTTTCCGCTGCTGCAGGGAAGCTTTTTGCCACACTGAAGGTGTCCTGCTTGCTCACTCCAGATTCTCCTGAAGGGCTGATGCTTAAGCGAGGGGTGCAGATGGCTTTGGTGAATTGCATACCAGCAAAGGCCAGTGTGTCAGTAGATCACAGAAACCATGTGTACGAGGCATTGGTGCTCAAACAGGCTGCTGGCGAGGGTCACATCGGTCTTCATCTGTCTGCACAGTGTGTGTCTGAGCTACAGCTGAGGAAAGAAACCAGGTGTAAAATGGAGGTTCAGTTTCAGTTGGATAGACTGTCATTCTGTCAGATACACCAGGCTATTGACCACCTACCAGACTTGCACTATGTTCTGCCTGACTTCAGTAACAGTTGTGTCCCTGTGAACATAACCAAACAGTCTGAATTGAATAACAAGCAACAAATCGCCCTGAACTTCATCCTTGGCAAGTGTGATGTCAACAAAGTGGCTCCTCCCTTGCTTATATACGGGCCATTTGGCACCGGGAAGACACTTTGTCTCGCCTCAGCAGCCAAACAGCTGGCCCTTCGTTCTCAAAACAAAGTGCTCATCTGTACATATACTAACAGGTAAGTTATGCTCATTTTACATTATTGTGTGAACGAAAAAAACAGAAAAATGATATCAGACATTATACAACAATTATAGTTTAGTGGTAATTATACAAAAGTATTTGACCAAAGAACTGACCAGATCAGAATTCATTATTCAGAAGAATGGCATAAAAGAGCTACTTATGTGTCCATAAAATGCAATATTATCAGTTTTTTTATTTGAATAAAGAGATAGCAACAGTTAATCTGTATAGATATATTCCCTTGTGAATATAAAAGCTTCTATCTATTAAAATGTATGTTTAAGAAATCTAATTTTGAGTTTTGTTCCCTATAGTTCTGCAGACTTGTATGTCAGAGGGCACTTCCATTCATACATTACAAATGGACACCCAAACCTCAAAATACTCAGGATAAAAGCAAACAAAGGTGGGGCTTCCATCAAGGCAACTGATGACATCACTCAGAAATACTGTCTTTGCTCTCCAGATAGACAGTCCTTCATTCGCCCAGCACGGTCTGATCTAGAGTCACACCGTATCATTATAACCACCACATCGATGGCACGACATTTCCGTGAGCTGAAGCTTCCTGAAGGTTTCTTCAGTCATATCCTGATTGATGAGGCATCTCAGATGCTGGAGGGTGAAGCACTCATGGCTCTGGGCTTAGCAGGCAAACACACTCGAGTGGTTTTAGCAGGAGACCACATGCAGATGGCTCCAAAACTTTTCTCTGTAACCGATGACAAACGATCAGAACATACACTGCTGTATCGTCTCTTCCGCTACTATCAGGATGAGAGCAGCAACATTGCCAAGAAAAGCAGAGTCATCTTTAATGAGAACTACCGTTCCACTGCAGAAATAGTGGACTTTGTATCCACTTACTTCTATGTGAGTGATGGCATCAAGGCCAAAGGAGAGATCCCTCCCCACCCAATGCTACACCCCCTGATCTTTCAGCATGTCAGAGGAGAATGCCGTCTGAATTCCACCTCCATGTCCTGGTTCAATCTTGCTGAGGTCAACAGTGTGGTCAACATGGTGAGAGGACTTCTGACTGACTGGCCAATGGAATGGGGTCATAAAGAGCCGAAGCAAATCTGTGTTCTTAGTGAAGGCCAACAGGTACATTTCAATGCATTTATGACTTTAACATATGGCAAATAAGTATATGGCAAATGAGTTATGACTAAAATTATTAGTAACATACTGTATACGTTCTGCATGGTGACATGCTCCATGAACAATAATTAAAGGGTTAGTTCACCCAAAAATTAGCCCATGTTTTACTCGCCCTCAAGGCATCCTAGGTGTATATGACTTTCTTCTTTCAGACGAATCCAATCTGAGTTAAATTGAAAATTATCCTTGCTCTTCCAAGCTTTAGAATGGCAGTAGGCAGGTGTTTTTTTTCAACAGTCCAAAAGTAGTCAAATAAAGTGCATCCATCTATAATAAAACATGCCTCACACGGCTCTGGGAGGGGGGATTGGGTGAATAAAGGCCTCCTGTAACGAACCGATGAGTTTTTGTAAGAAAAATATCCATATTTAAAGGGGTCATATGACGTTGCTAAAAAGAACATTATTACCAAAGAACATTTGGTGTAATGCAATGTGTTTATGCAGTTTAAGGTTAAAAAAACACATTATTTTCCACATAATGTACATTATTGTTTCTCCTCTATGCCCCGCCTTTCTGAAACGCGTCGATTTTTACAAAGCTCATCGGTCTGAAAAGCGAGGTGTGCTCTGATTGGCCAGCTATCCAGTGCGTTGTGATTCGGCGAATTCCTCAAGCGTGTGACGGAAATGTCATGCCCCTTACCATACTGTGATGCCGTGTCCCGGCGCGACGAGACAAAGGCAAATTCTTTAAATATGAAAACGTACTTACAGGCTGTGAGTCAGAAGCGCCAGACTGTCCTAGCAAAGTTGGAATTGCCCCACTTTATAGAAACAGACACCGGCATTGTAGGCTACTCTCACAGGAAACAGTCCTCATCCTCCATAAAATGCGCTGCACACATCTGAATATTTGGGTTGAACTGTTCTCTTGAACTATCTCTTTGGATTTGAGACTTTAGTCTTTGCAACTTTACAGATCTTCTTTATGCACCAAGAGCTTGTAACACTCCAAAGAGAAAGGAAAAATTTAAATCGCATCATATGACCCCTTTAAAATGTTATAAACACTTCTCTCACTTCCGCTGATTGTCATATGTGCAAGCCATTCCAGCGGATGATGTAGGATGTATGCACAGCGCACGCGCCTGTGAGATATGCTATTCTCTCGTTTGTTTACAGGAGCAAAGGAAGCAAAGTTTCCGAAACCAGTCTCCACTTGGCTTATATCGAAATCATCTGGCATTTTCCTTTACAAATCCTTGTTTTGTTTTGCTCTCTCTCCTCCGCGCTTCCGCATTCGTCACTAATCACCGGCACGTGTGCTACATATACGTCCTAGAACATCCGCCGGAATGGCTTCCATGTACGACAGTTAGCTGAAGTGAGAGAAAAGTGTTTATAATGTTTTAAATATGGATATTTTTCTTACAAAAATGCATGGATTTGCTACAGGAGGCCTTTATTCACCCCCAGAGCCGTGTGAAGCACATTTTATTATGAATGGATGTGCTTTATTTAACTACTTTTGGACTGTTAAAAAAAACACCCGCCTACTGCCATTCTAAAGCTTGGAAGAGCAAGGATAATTTTTAATATAGACCATATCAAGCATGACTGAGGCGCAAACCTACACACACAAAAAAGTAGTCTTCCGGACGGCTCAAAGCGGCTCTGATTGCTGCTGCGTGTGTGTACACGAGAGATGGCGGTAAACGTGTATCGCAGTCTGGATGCTTACAATTAACTCCTTAGCGGAAAGGTTGGGATCATTTGTTCGTACAATGGATGACATCAGTCTTGTGTTTGGTTAAACTGAAGCAAGATAAACAGTGCCACTTACATACTTATCATGGTTCACTAAGATGTCCGGGAAGGCTTTTAGTGGACATTTCACTTGCATTGCTGGGTCAGTCTGTATATCTATGCAAATATTCATTTTCATATTTATTTGTACAGCGCTTTTCACAATACATATCATTTCACTGCAGCTTTACAGAACATGCATGTATATTACCGCTAAATGAATGCTAGTAAACTAATCACATGCCATGCCATTATTACTGATTGCATTTTTTTTAAAATGTGTGCTTAGTTTGGTCAAGTTTGTTGCTGTGAAACAGAGCATTCAAATGCTTTCTCGCATCTAAACCATCATCTGGTCACAAATTAACAAGATGAATGCAATTCAATGCTGACTATACCGTGTTTTGCATAAACCTGTATTAGTTTTTTTAAGATAAAAGTATAGCCTACATGCAAATTAATAAATGCACACACACACACACACACACACACACACACACACACTACATACAGTATATGTGGGTATGTATTTTTTATGCACATTTACTGTAAACACAAAAAAACATTAAAAATAGTAATGTGTCCAGACTTTTGACCAGTACTGCATATAAACAAAAGACATCCTCTCGCTTTCAACTGTTTCCAGCAAATTTATTAATATGTGATTAATATCAAAAGCAGCAGTCAGTAGCTGGCCTGGCCATGAGCAGCTTTAAGTACTACATTGCATTTCATCCTCAAGTTCTCAAACACATTTGGGTGTTGTTCATATGGTCATATGTGGTTTGGAACTGCAGGACAACCAGCTGTTCTTCCTGTCTCCATGTAGCACTCACTGATTTAGGTGTCTTGCATTACAGATGATGGATTTCCTAAAGACAAAAGTAGAAAAACAATTATTTAATTAAATGCACAGTATTACTATTATTGTTTAATACATCAATACATGTTGGAATTAACATTAGACAAGCTTAATAAGTGATGAAAAAATGTTTACCGTTACCTTTTGTAAACTACTGCAGTTAACTGTTACAGTATACAACATTCAAGTTTACCGTATACATTTCTATTACGTGTTACTCACTGCATTTATCTGCTGACAAGATAGCTAGGCAACTAATGTGAACTCATATTTAATTATAGCCCACATAACACTTGGCAATAAAACGGAAATAAAACTTTGGCCTTTTTCACTAAACAAGAATCAAAACGCTAGGCGCATATGTAAACAATGACGAAAACACAATGCTGCATCATACTTGAAGAGTTAACGTAAAGAAATACAAATAATAAAATGGGAAAAAAATGTAATTTCCTTACCTGAAACGAAATGTGCGCTGAATATCCTACAGTTGCTAGTTGCTATTCAGCCTTCTTGCTTCACTGCTGCAATCCAGGTGCGTTTCTCGGAAATCTAAACCCTTTAATTTCCGATTATTTATAAATTAAAGTTAGTTCCTGGCTAGAGGGGAGCACCAAACCTCCGAGCAACAAGGATATAATTTTAATTTTGACATTTTAAACAGCAGGATTAAATAAATTATCGCAATCCCACAAGCGCCTGCCGCCATTGTTTTGAATGCTCTCGAACACTAACCGGAAACGTCCAAGGAACAAAGACGTCACTTCCTTAAACCGCCGAACAGCCATTGAAATGGTCTGTAACTACGATTGGATTCGTCTGAAAGAAGAAAGTTATATACACCAAGGATGTTTTGAGGGTGTGTAAAACATGGGCTAATTTTCATTTTTGGGTGAACTAACCCTTTAAATGTCAACTGTTAATATTAATCTAGCAGGCATGAGAAATGCAAGTAATTCAACAATTCTGCTTAAAGACTTGAATTCTGTTAGTACTGATACATCATCAATACATCCTTTCTCTTTCAATTCTTCAGCTTGCTGTCACGAAAAATCATCTCCACCAGAAAGGAGTTCATGGAGTGTCTGTTCAAAATTTAGCAAACATTCAAGGTACTGGGGGGTTCAGAACATCCCTGTCTGCTGGAGTTTAGGAAAGATGTTTGATTCATCTAGAATTTTTTTTTTATAATATCAGTCTTGCATTTTATTTCAGTCACAAATTGTGTCTGTTCACATGTTTTTAAATTATTTATTATTATTATTTTTAAAATACAACCTACCTATAAAATTCTGTGTCTTTAGGGAAACAGTTCAGGGTCATTATCATAACAACAGTTCAGACAAGAGACAGACTTCTTCAATCAGAGTCAAGCTGCCCAGAGTTTTTTGATGACATCCGTGCATTGAACACTGCCTTGACCAGAGCCCAATCACTGGTGATTGTAGTTGGAGATGCTGGTGCTCTTTGTTGTTTTGGAAAGTGCTCAAAAATCTGGAGGTCCTACATAGAACATTGCATCAGCAAAGGCAGCATTAAACCAGATAACTTTACCAGAGACATCCTACAACAGGAAGTATTGGAAATTTCTAAATTTCAGAAGGCAGAAAAGATAGAAATGTCTGAGAGTGATGTACCTCTCCAGGCTGAAACTGATGCTATATTGAAAGAGATGGATGACTATGATTCTGATGTACAGGACTCAGATGAAGAGAAAGAACAAAGGAGGCCTTTATTCTCTACCACTGAAAAGGAAAACCTATTGGAGCTGGTCAGGAAACAGCCTGCTATCTATAGGCATGGAGAATTGGTGATGAAGGGACCTCAGTCAGGTTATGTAGTACCTTATGACAATCCATCTGAACACATTAATATTAAAGGGAGGAAAAGCATTGGCATGTCTTTCCCTGGGGATGAAGTTGTGGTTGAGACTGGACGAGATGATGAAGGCTCTCTTACTGGGAAAGTTTTAGGTTTCACAAACAGACAACCAACATCCTCTGAATTTGTGTGTTTTTTAGAGGATGAAAATTATCACAAACGAACACAGAACACTGACAAATACTTGGTGCCAAAAATGATGATACCCCTCAATCACAACACCACCAAAATGCGTGTCTTGGTGAAGAAAGAGAATCGCAATTTTATCCCAGTATGGAAGTATGCCAATGGCAATTGGACGATAACAAGAAATTTTCGTGTTGATGAACAAACAAAACAGAACTATGTTTTTGTTGTTCAGATTTTGGGCTGGAAAGAACACTGTTCATTTCCGCTAGGCAGAGTTATGGATATTCTACCAATTGGGACATCTTTAGAAGAGGGACTCAAGATTTTAAAATCAGAGTTCAAACTAACACCTCCTCCTCTACTGCAAGAGGACACAATTCCAGAGATGAAAGCTGATGGAACTGATGACAAGAAAAGAAAAGATTTCAGAGGTTTACAAACCTTTACCATTGATCCAGCCACAGCTAGAGACTTAGATGATGCCATTAGTATTAATGATCTGGGAAGCTGCTATGAAATAGGGGTTCATGTTGCAGATGTGGCTAGTTTCGTGTCTAAGGGCAGTTCACTTGATAGCTTTGCAAAAGAGATGGGAGCAACTTTTTATGATCCTGGAAAAGAACCTACATTCATGTTCCCAAAACATCGTGCCACCACCTTTTGGAGTCTTCTCCCAGGTGAAGATCGTAAAGCCATTTCATTAATTGTCAAAGTGGAAAAGAAATCAGGCATTATTACAAAAGGGAACTTTTACCTCTCTAAGGTCAAATCTAAAAAGAAGCTGACCTACAAGGAGGCTGAGGATATAATAAGTCAGTGTGACGGTGAGCTAAGATTTGATACTTTGGAGGACTGTGTCAGGGTGGCTTACCGTTTTGCCCGAAGCCAACGCAAAGCAAGACTTAAAGAAGACTGGAACTATGCCCAACCTGATAAACACCGGATGCCAGGGGAGAGAGAAGCAAATCTAATGGTTGAAGAGTTCAACATAATGTTTAACCATGAAGTGTCAAAATTTCTGACAGAACACACAGACACTACATTCTGCACTCCCCTGAGGTGTCAGGCTCATCCTTTAGCAGAACAATTAGAGATGATCAGTGATCGACACATGGAAGTCATTCCTTTATCCTCACACCTGACATTTCATATAGACAGAAGTCGTGTGGACCTGAATAGCATGATTACCTTCACTGTGCATTCTCCAGGGTCTAGAGATGTTCGCCTAAACAGTAATCCTAACTCCAGCCCTTTATCAAGCCACCTACGAGATGCCATCTCTGTCAGTGACTCTGAATATCATTTTGTAATTGGAGTTCACAAAGCAGATTTTTTTAGCTATGTGTCTGGGGAAAATATTCAGAACTTGGGTGCACAATCAGACATGTGGAGTTTGACGCCAGGCAAAAATCGCCGTGCTATCTCTTTAATTCTGAAAGTGGAAAAGACAAAAGGCAAACTAGTGGAGCAAAAGTTGGTGCTTTCCCGCATAAAGTCAAGCAGGGCATTGTCCTACAGTGAAACTGACAGCATCATCAACCAGTCAGGTGAAAATGAGATGAAATGTGATTCTCTAGAAGGCTGCATACTTGTGGCTTATCATTTTGCACTTGATCACAAGAAAAATAGACTCTCTGGACATGTGGGCAGTTCCAATCCTGCTGATCTCAGTTCATCTGAAGACAGCAAATGCAGGTTAATGATGGAGGAGCTGAAGCTGATGTTTAAAAGAGCTTGTGATCGGCTGATTGATCAAGAAACCCCATTTCCAAATACATTTAGCTGTCCGGTGACAGCTTCACCTGGTTTGGTGAGGAGACTGAAGAGAGACAATGAGGAGCTTGGGTCCCTCCATGCATTGGAGGAAAGTCTGGATTCATATCCTTGGCAGAACTATGGCAGTTTCATCATTCTGACATCTGTGTGGCAAAAGATTGAATCAGCAGCTTTGACATGTGACTTTTACAGAATGGCTGATCTGATTTCTACAGATGACATTCATCCACATTTAGTTCCAGCTACTGTTCAGTTAAAGGCCACTGTCAATAAAGCTTTCTTCATTCGTTCTCTCTCCTGCAAAGATGCTTTACTTGGGCACTATTCATTACAGCTGGATTCATATACACATGCATCCTCACCCATTCGCCGGTACATAGATGTGGTTCTTCAGAGGCTCATGCATTCAGTTCTCTGCGATCGTTCTGTTGAGTACTCTCAGACAGACATTGATGTCTTATGTGACAAGTGTAAAAGAGGTGAATTGAGGGCACAAGAGTATGAAAGCAAAGCAGAGTCACTTCATCTCGCAGTGAGTCTACAAAAGCAAAGCACATACAAAGTGGCTTTTGTCACCATTGTTGAACCTGACAGCGAAAATTTCAAATTATCATTTCCGTTTGACAAAGGAACTTACCCGGACAGGCTTCCTGTTAAATACAGAAATTTACAGCTTGAGGATCAACCAATATTTGACAATAAACAAAAACAGGTGACACTGACTTGGAAAAAACGGATATACTCACTGAGCATGACCCAGACGCCACTGCAGAACTTGAGATCCTGTTCAGAGATACAGCTAAGCACCTGGCACGCCATTGTTGAGGCAGTACGAGACGAACAGTGGGAAGAAGCAAAATCCCTTGTGTTAGCAACAGATGTGAGAGATCACAGTGAGACCAATGAAGTGCATGATACATCTCGATTGAATCCTGATCACACTTTTGTGTCTGAAGAGGGTCATTACACTGACTTCACACTCTATTTGAAAGCCGGAGACACTGTGCAGGTCCAGCTGACCTCAGAAAGGGACAGGGGCTACTGGGCGCCAACTGTACAGTTATTCAATGTGAGTTCAAGCTTTGAGATTTGTGTGGAACACACTGACAATCCTATTAAGTGCTTTTCCAAACTTGCAAACCGCCCATCCAAAGGTTACTATAAGGATGTAGAGGAATATGTGCAGATATGGAAGCCTCTCTGTGAAATGGAGTCTGCTGCTACTGCTGTAGATGATAGCGACTGTGTTGTCATAGAGAATGTGCTCATAACTTGGATGCTATCCTTTGATGATTCCAAACTCTCTGGAACTTTCTCTTTGCCTGTGGAATATGTCAAGAAATGGGCAATTGAATTTGACCTGGCCAAGTGTTTGATCTGTATCCGAAAAAGAGTTCTGAAGCAGAACCATGCAAATCAGTCAAAGCTGGATCCAGAATACTTTACTTGGGTGGCCCATGGTTTGACAACCCAATGTTTGGATCCTCCAGAAAACAGTGTGAATAAGTCCAAAATTATTCACTTTAGCATAAAATATGCATCCATGAAAATTCCAAAATTCAAGAGGAATGATACATTCACAGTGGAGGTGATCCCTAAACTCATTCCAGACATGTAAGCATGTGACATACAACAAATGCATTACACCACAACCATATTATGAGTCTTCAATACACTACAATTAAACCCTTAACATTACAAATCTCATTATTACATTATTTACTTTTTGTATATTCATGTATCAGTTCATAAATATATTTTTTTCAACATTGAGATGCAAAGTTATGATAACCAGTTGCTTTGATGTCTATTTTTTTCTGCTTTATTCATCCAGACGGAAGGAAAGTGCAGTGAATAATTTACCAGCAGCTAATGAACTTGTTAAGAACATTGCACTAAGACACCGGATTCTGAAAGAAAGTATGCATTGCATTCATAATATGCCATATGATGAGTGAGAGAACATTTTTAAAACACAAGTGTGGTTATGAGAAACTACTGTATGCAGTCAAAATGGTGATGCATATAGTTGTACAACCTTTTCTTTACATTCTTTAACTCTCAGCAAACATGACGATCTCTAAAGATGTGCAAGCATGAACTGAGAGCATGAACCGCAAGATCCTCAAGCAATGCCATGTGTGCTATCTTCAAAACCAGTTCAAACACCTATAATACAGACCCAGATTACAGACCTCTCATTAGCTGTATATATATTTTGCGTGTAGTTTCAGTTGTTCCTACTGTAAAATTTTTGTATATTGTCAATACATTTTATACAGAAGTTTTTGGTGAATCATGAATGTTTGAGTAACCGTTTGAATGTAGATTTTGTGTGTACATGCTCAGTGAATGAGGCTGTTCTTAATTACAACTTTCTCCTTTGCAAGTACTTTCTTTTTTGCAAGCACTGCATATTCATTATCATTTTGACTTCATAAGAAAGTTCAATTTAATATTTTTATAGTATGCTTCTGTTTATTTATTAATAATATACCTAGACAGGATGTTAGTGTCTTATTAGCGTATCTAATTTTTACTATTTTTTATTTTTTTTTAATTCTACATTTAACACCACAGTGAACCACAATGTGAGCTTAAAATGATATATTTACACTGGAATTTAATTGCATACACTTTAGTCCTTTGGTTTTAAAGGTACTTTTGGCTCTATCAATCCACAGGCTCTGAACAAGCTGTATACCTATATGTGCTCATGAGAGAGGAACCACCAGCAGGTCTGCCTCGACTGAATGAAAGCCAGTTTAAAGCTTTGGAACAAGCTCTGAACGGCAAATTCACCGTCATTCAAGGGCCTCCAGGTTACACATTCTGAGCATATACAGTTTTTTAGTTTAATCTTACAGATCACAGCCAGTTTATGGACTCGCAGTCACAGGGATTTTACTATTTTTTCCTAAATGTTTCTTAATGGAACTGAAAAAAGCCTTTTGTGTATCCTTTATAGGAACAGGAAAGACAGTTGTAGGAGCGTACATAGTGTACTGGTTCTCACAGCTGAACTCTAAGAATCCTTGGAAGCTGAAGGAGCTGAAAGTCAAAAAGAAGAAAGAGGTTATTCTTTACTGTGGACCCTCAAACAAGTCTGTGGATGTAGTTGCAGGTACAGTAAGCATAATTTTGAAAACTAGAATTGGTATAAAGAAGAAATTTCTGAATGTATGTGCTTGTGTTGTGTGTACAGAATACCTGCTCAAGTTTGGACATAAGCTGAAGCAATTACGTGTATACAGCAGACAGATGGAGATGCAGGAGTATCCCTATCCCGGCAGCAACCTTCAGTTATCACACAAATCACTGCGCCAAGAGCGGTCTAAACCTGAGCTCAGGTACTACCAATGAAGCAAAAATTGCTATTTTGTGATCAGCTAACATCACATTTGATATTGTACTGTCAGTTATTGAATCTATAACGAAGTAGTTATGATTAAATGCCCTTACCAAAGAAACAAACTCTCACTAGCCGGATTTTTATTGCAAATCTCTTTCTATAGAAATCACGGTATCAGTGTGCATGTAAATAAATGTGCTCAATGATCATTAGTTTATCTGAACAGTACTCAATTTTCACATTCTTTTATCTAGGGACATAACACTTCATCACAGAATTAGAATGAGTCACAACCCTCATTCTCAAGCAATAACTGGCTTTGATGAAAGAATTGCTCATAACCCCCATTCACTGACAGATGCAGACATAGAAGAGTAAGTATAAGTCTGTTTTATTAATGCTTCTTCTCTTATTTAGAAACTCAAAAACTACTATAAAAACTTTTAGCTTAATTTTCATCATCATTTTCTGCACCCGACTATAGCACATCTCTACATCTAACAGTGTGTCTACATGTGTGTGATTACATGTAAATGCATGTTTGCATGACGCCTTATTGTGTGTATCCCCAGATATAAGAAGCTGCTAAATTCTGCACGTTTGTATGAACTGGAAAGTCATGATATTATTCTATGCACTTGCACGGCTGCTGCCTCCCCAAACCTCACCAAGACACTCAGTGCACGACAGATCCTCATCGACGAGTGTGCCATGGCAACAGAACCGCAGACACTTGTCCCATTGGTCAGCTTTAAACCTGAGAAGGTCAGAGTGACTCTTGACTTATCCATAGCAAACAAGTCCGTCAAAAACTATATAAACTATACAGACTGGACATAAATTGTAGCCTATAGAAATGCTAAGCAAAAACTTTCTGCAAACCACATGACCTAGACTTCCAAAAAAACAACCGCCTGCATAGCCCAAATTATTAAAGCACAGAAACCTAGTTTTGGAAGAACGCTCATCTTAAGACACACCCTTTATAGCACACTAAACAAAGAATTCACAGGAAGCTGCTGGACACAAAGAACTTTTAACCAGCTCACCTTTGAAAACAATACAGCAGAAACTTAGAAGCAGAGTAAACACATAAAGTTTCATTAAACTTCACATTTTGCACAGCACTGATATGCTTAATTATAAGAAAAAAAGAAAAGCATTTAAAAACTAAATAAATTTAAATGCAACAAAAAAAATAGAGAAAACACTAGATAATGGAATTTAGTATTTTAGTCTATTTGAAATATAATGTAATAACAACATAAATAATATATGTATCAAGTTTTTAACTATGAATGCAAACTTTGTCTAATGGTCAACCAGCATAAGCAAACTTGATAAGGGACCTGCTTCTTGCTACATTTCTCTCACCTTACTTTTCCAAACATTCATTCAGAACCTTCTGTGAGGGTTTTCAGTTCCTTGTCACACAATCAAGGATCAAGGATACTCGTTTTGCAGGTTGTGTTGTTGGGGGATCACAAGCAGTTGCGTCCGATCGTGAAGAACGAGCATGCGCGGAGACTGGGCATGACACACTCTCTGTTTGAACGTTACATGGATAGAGCTCTGCTGCTTGACACCCAGTACAGAATGGTACAAGACAAACACGTACATGCTTCGCATTCACGCTTACATACACATATTTAATGTGGTATATTTTCTTCAGCATGAAGTGATCTGCAGATTCCCATCAGAGGCTTACTATCTGGGTAGGCTGAAAACTAAGGTGGATGAACGGACCAGCGTACTGCACATTGAAACTGAGGGAATGAGACACAGCAAACACATTCTGTTTGGAGACATACGAGGTGTCGAGTTCAGTTTGGTTGTTTCAACTGCACGGGGGAACGAGAACTCGAAAGCCAACTTTGCAGAGGTTAAGAAAGCTGTAAGTGAAAGATAAAAATATGAAAACCATCAAAACACAAACCCTATTTACACCAGAAAACAAACTGCACAAAACCTACAGTATGTATTTGTAACCATCACATAAAATAAAGTTTACCAAAACTTGACACTTCAAATGCAAAAAAACAAATAAATATATATATATATTTTCCCCCTTTTTGTTTTACATATCACCTTACTAATATATTATACAGTATACAGTTAGAGGACCAGATTTGTTTGAATGTGTTCTTACGCAGGTTGAGATTTGTGGTCAGCTGGTATCAGTGGGCCATGTGAGGCAGGAGAACATTGCCATTCTGTCACCATACAACGCACAGGTGGCCCAGATCAGAGATCGACTGAGAAGGTCCACTGACCCCCAGATGGAGAGAATCACAGTCACCACCATTACAAAGAGCCAAGGTGACACTTTTTATTGAAGACTCGTGTTTGTGCTTTAATATACAATTTTATTAATGTCTGTGTTCATCTTCAACCTGCATTATAAAAAATGTGATAATGAGGAGTGTTTGTAACAAATGTAAAAAGAGGTGCTCTACCAACAGAAGAGGAGGTGCAACCAAGAATCCAAAACTTTAAAGAAAATATATAGAGGCTCAATGAAACAAGCTTGTTTAAAGCTTATTTGAAGCTTGTTTCATTGAGCCTCTATATATTTTCTTTAAAGTTTGATCTTGAACTTTTATTTTTCTTTTTTTCTCTCCCTAATCCTATTAGGAAACTACTTCTCAATCAGCACAATTAGTGGAGTTGCACACCTGTTGGTGAGCACAGAAACCTAGTTTTGGAAGAACGCTCATCTTAAGACACACCCTTTATAGCACACTAAACAAAGAATTCACAGGAAGCTGCTGGACACAAAGAACTTTTAACCAGCTCACCTTTGAAAACAATACAGCAGAAACTTAGAAGCAGAGTAAACACATAAAGTTTCATTAAACTTCACATTTTGCACAGCACTGATATGCTTAATTATAAGAAAAAAAGAAAAGCATTTAAAAACTAAATAAATTTAAATGCAACAAAAAAAATAGAGAAAACACTAGATAATGGAATTTAGTATTTTAGTCTATTTGAAATATAATGTAATAACAACATAAATAATATATGTATCAAGTTTTTAACTATGAATGCAAACTTTGTCTAATGGTCAACCAGCATAAGCAAACTTGATAAGGGACCTGCTTCTTGCTACATTTCTCTCACCTTACTTTTCCAAACATTCATTCAGAACCTTCTGTGAGGGTTTTCAGTTCCTTGTCACACAATCAAGGATCAAGGATACTCGTTTTGCAGGTTGTGTTGTTGGGGGATCACAAGCAGTTGCGTCCGATCGTGAAGAACGAGCATGCGCGGAGACTGGGCATGACACACTCTCTGTTTGAACGTTACATGGATAGAGCTCTGCTGCTTGACACCCAGTACAGAATGGTACAAGACAAACACGTACATGCTTCGCATTCACGCTTACATACACATATTTAATGTGGTATATTTTCTTCAGCATGAAGTGATCTGCAGATTCCCATCAGAGGCTTACTATCTGGGTAGGCTGAAAACTAAGGTGGATGAACGGACCAGCGTACTGCACATTGAAACTGAGGGAATGAGACACAGCAAACACATTCTGTTTGGAGACATACGAGGTGTCGAGTTCAGTTTGGTTGTTTCAACTGCACGGGGGAACGAGAACTCGAAAGCCAACTTTGCAGAGGTTAAGAAAGCTGTAAGTGAAAGATAAAAATATGAAAACCATCAAAACACAAACCCTATTTACACCAGAAAACAAACTGCACAAAACCTACAGTATGTATTTGTAACCATCACATAAAATAAAGTTTACCAAAACTTGACACTTCAAATGCAAAAAAACAAATAAATATATATATATATTTTCCCCCTTTTTGTTTTACATATCACCTTACTAATATATTATACAGTATACAGTTAGAGGACCAGATTTGTTTGAATGTGTTCTTACGCAGGTTGAGATTTGTGGTCAGCTGGTATCAGTGGGCCATGTGAGGCAGGAGAACATTGCCATTCTGTCACCATACAACGCACAGGTGGCCCAGATCAGAGATCGACTGAGAAGGTCCACTGACCCCCAGATGGAGAGAATCACAGTCACCACCATTACAAAGAGCCAAGGTGACACTTTTTATTGAAGACTCGTGTTTGTGCTTTAATATACAATTTTATTAATGTCTGTGTTCATCTTCAACCTGCATTATAAAAAATGTGATAATGAGGAGTGTTTGTAACAAATGTAAAAAGAGGTGCTCTACCAACAGAAGAGGAGGTGCAACCAAGAATCCAAAACTTTAAAGAAAATATATAGAGGCTCAATGAAACAAGCTTGTTTAAAGCTTATTTGAAGCTTGTTTCATTGAGCCTCTATATATTTTCTTTAAAGTTTGATCTTGAACTTTTATTTTTCTTTTTTTCTCTCCCTAATCCTATTAGGAAACTACTTCTCAATCAGCACAATTAGTGGAGTTGCACACCTGTTGGTGATTATCAGACTGCACATAACTGTGTGAGATTGGTACTCTTGTTATCTGATGAAGGCCTTGGATGGCCGAAACGTCATGTTGTTTTATTAATAAAGCTTGAACTTTGAAGAGTGAGTGTTTGTTCAGCTCATAATGAGGAGTGTTATAATGATGTGATTGCAGGTAGTGAGTGGCAGTATGTGATTCTGTCGATGGTTCGCTCTTGCCCCTGCAATGAGATTGAACCTTATCCTTCAAGAGAATGGCTGTCCAAACACATTGGCTTTGTGGGTGATGAAAACCAGATCAATGTGGGCATCACAAGAGCACAGGATGGGCTATGCATTCTGGGTAATCCCTATATTACATTCATCTAGGAATGATTTTAAATTATATATTCTTAATGAAATACATATACCCATGTCCTAAAATCACAATGTTTTATGGAAAAGAAATATAGAATACTTGCTACAACCATTACTAATTTACTATTATAAGATATTAATATATTTATTTAATTCTGTGCTTTAGGCAATCAGGAGATACTGAACTGCAGCCCAGCGTGGAAGAAACTACTGAAACATTATTCAGGTCAAGGCTGTGTGGTCTCTGCAGACCAGATTACAGTACACAATGTACGTTAAATCAGATTTTAAAGTTGGATTGATCTTGAAGCATTTTACACTCAGTGGTTTTTAAGATTATATTTTTAACCAAATTTCTAGTATAATTCCACCACATTTTTAAATGGTTATGATTATATTAACAAACTAACACATTTGAGAATCTAACCATTCCTGTCATTTTCAATCGATTTAAAACCATGGCAGCTTGAGAGAAGAAATTACATATATTTTGTTGCATATAACCATACAAACTCTTGTTGACTGATTGTAAAATAAAAAAGAATTTATTTTGATTCATACATTTCCACAAAAACGTTTGTTTTTAAATTTGTAGATATTGCAAATCTTGATCTACTGAGCCATTTCTTGCTCTATCATTGTCAGTGTCTGTGTTGTCTTATTCTTTAAACTTTTAATATAACCTAGATTACCCAGACCAATTGTCTGCGTTGGAAAAAAAGCTTTAAGAATCTTTCTGTAATTTTATTAAAATTTTTATGACAGTGCTGGCTAATGTCAATTTACCACAGTTCAACTGTAGTATCAAATGTAACAATGTAAGTGTAGCAGAAATATTTGTAAGGGATGCTATATCATATTCACTTATGAATAGAAATTGGCTTACAAATAATCTATTTATTAATGGCTTGTTTTTTTACATTTAACATTTAAACTGCAAAATGTATCAAGCACCTGCATTAACATTGTATAGTGTTAGACTGATCACTGGTGTTTGTTATGCTGATGTAACTCGTGCTGGATACCTTGATAAAAATACCAAATTTGTTAACATGGGGCTGATAATTGGTATATATATAGAGGGGGGAAAACATTCTGCTGGTGTGTCAAATCAATTCCTCAATTCCCACAACTAACCACCATGGGTCAGCATAAACAGAAGAACAGAATAAAGTAATTATTCTGCATATTCCAGCTATTTTACAGATTTTGAGAATTTACAGATTAAGATATCTGCCACTTTTTACTACTTTCTTATGCTACAAAATCTTGATTATTCAAAGCCAACATTACTAGATAAAATTAGTCACCCAAGCCTCCTTTACTGATTTGAAAGCTTTTTTATTTTTTTATATTTTTATTATTATTTACTCTGGACTGCTATTTACATTATCCACAACTGAAAAAGCTTTGACAAATGTACCATTGTATGTCAGTTATATAGCAATAAAATCACACTTGAACTGAAGCTCAAACTGATTGCATGGGGTAGTGTAACCTGTTTGGGGCTTTATCTGTTGGGCACTGGGGAAACTGTTGGAGCCTTTTCCTTGTGTAGATGAACGTGAGCTTGAAGGGGTGGGGTTTAAAGGGATAGTTCACTCAAAAATAAATATTCTGTCATTAGTTACTCGCCCTCATGGCGTTCCAAACCCGTAAGACCTTTGTTCATCTTTGGAACACAAATTAAGATATTTTTGATGAAATCCAAGAGCTTTCCAACCCTGCATAGACAGCAATGAAACTGAAATGTTCCCAGGCACAGATAAGGACATCGTTAAAATAGTCCATGTGACATCAGTGGTTCAACCGTAATTTTATGAAGCTATGAGAATATTTTTTTGTGCGCAAAGAAAACAAAAATAATGACTATTCAACAAATCTTCTCTTCCGCATCACCGTCCTCCGCCATTATCGAGAGTACCACGACACATGCGTGTTGTGCTGTTGACATAGAACACGCATGCTTCGCACATTGTTTACGAGCAGAGGAATGCACACGCACAGGTCGAGGTTCTCTTGATAATGGCGGAGGACGTTGACACAGAAGAAAAGAATTGTTGAATAAAGTCATTATATTAGTTTTCTTTGCGCACAAAATTATTCTCATAGCTTCGTGAATTTAAGGTTGAACCACTGATGTCACATGGACTATATTACCAAATACAAATCCAACAACCAGCGCTACGGGTTACCAAAATCTGTTACCCCACTCTTGTTTCACAGAGAATTGCTTTAATTTACTCTGGTGATGTTTAATCTTCTCTGTTTCATAGCCCAAAAAGCATTTATGGTCTGATGTGAACACATGTAGATATACAACCAATTTAATTTTAAATGTACTGCTAAAAAAAAAAAAAAGAGTAAATGCCATGACTAAATCAAGTTTTGACCATTCAGTAGCTTTGTGTAAAGATTCCGAGGACCAAACATAAATTTAGTTCGTTATTTACTGAAGGTTTTCCCTTTTGCATTCTCCGCTGCCAATGACGTTCAATTAAAAATGGTGCTGCTGGACGTAATGACGCAAAACGCCATAGTATAGCGTGTCACGTTATAGACACTATTTGAGATCCTCACAGGTTGACTGAAGAGTATCAGTAAATGGTGACCTAAATTTTAGTGTGTTCCTCACACAAACACTTAGGAAAAACTGCTCACCAATCGTGTGGACTACCTTTTTAAATGGATAAATAGTATGGAAGCAGATTAGACTCAATAATAATTTACGCAAAAGACACGATGCACACATGCGTATCCCAATTCACATACACGAAACCCAATTCACGTGCACGAAAAAAATAATATATATTAACAAAAACCAATTCACGTGCACAAAATAAGAATACGTTTCACAAATGCAAAACACAATTCACAGATGTACAAGTGTGTACAAACATTTTTAATGTTTAAAATTCACAAGTTCATCATGGACTGTGAATGTGTGAATCGCCTTCCGTTTTTTGGCGTGTTACATGTTGTGTGCATATCGCCACCTACTTTTGCTGTTATGCAGTCATGGTTTATTTATAATCATCAATAATCATCAATATAATCATCAAAAGATTAATGCGTGCCATCACAGGACTTGAGACACAAGACAAGCTCTGCTGTGACCGCTCTTTCATGTCCTCAATAAACAAAAACACGAGACTGCTTGAAAAATATCCAAAAAACTATATTTTCATAATCTTCTATTTATTTACGACATGTCCCATCAGTCAAAACCTTATTTTATGCTTTACATTGAGTTTATGAATCTAATATTTTAATGTGGTATGGAATCCACGTGAATAATGATTATTTATTAAATAAACATAAGAATCAATCAATATTAAATCATAATACACTCTGGACTAAACTGCAGCTGCTGGCTTCCACTGGTCACGTTAACGAGTGTGTCTAAACGACTGACTTTACTTCCAAGTTTTAAGTAAGCATGCAAAGATAAAACAGTACCTTTACAAGACTTGTTAACTGAAATGAAATGATAACCTGCATCTCAATGTTCATGCTATCCATTCTAAATAGTATGTGAGATTAGAATGTGTGTCCCAATCAAAGCATAGCATGTTGAAAAGAGTATGCCAAAAGTCCTCGAATGGTCTACTATTTCAGGTCGATTTTTAAAGTGTGGATCCGTGCACACTCTAATGGCTAAAATTGCCCACAATCCATTGCGCTTTGTCGAAGGATTCTGTCCATAACTACAAACATGAATAAAACGCGTTAGAAAAACTACAAATGTGGCGGATGCGCGCGATCCACGGTTAGGTACAAAAAGGGGTTTGAGTTACTAATAATGAACATTTAACCTGGTAAAACATTTTTATTTATTGTTATCCGTGTGCAACAGCAATGTGAACTTTTATAAACATCCATTTGGTCGTTAACTTTTAAATGCACCATTATGCAGAAAATATGAGCAGAGTTCTCCGCATGAAAGACCCGCGACTGGCAGATCAACAAGCTACTTCTTTTCTCTCCAGTACCGTAGGACGTTAAATTAAATGAAATGTGGAGGATGTTAACTGTGACATGATGATTGACAGGCCAGTTTACAGTGACAGGGTGCGTGTAATGCCCGGTTCAGACTACACGATTCTAGCCCGATTTTGCCACGATTTGCTCGACGTAGGGTGTCGTGGGGATTCGTAAACGACAATGGGCGTCGGGACGTAAGATTCCATTGTTTCAGTACGTGTAGTGTGTGTGTAGTGGACGACAACCGATTCCGCGTCTGCGATGCTTCACAACATCACGAAAGAAAGACTAGCATGTTTAATTTTTTTTCCGTCGTCCACGACGAGTTCTGTCACATTGGTGACGTTGACCAATAGCAGCACAGAAGCTCTTTCATACACAGGTTTCAAACGTGGCAAAACGAAAGAGAGATGATGGTGCTGCTAGGTGGAATTATGAGATGGAGGAAAGGTTCGTGGAGCTGTGGCAACATTACTCCTGCCTGTATGATGTGTCATCGAGGGACTACCACGACAGAACAAAGGAAGAAAAATGCTGGTGAACTATAGCGGAAGCGCTTCAGTAATACACGCGATGAATGGTCGGCAAGCAACGTGTAGTTTGACATGTTTCTTGTCCACGACAAGATTTTAGGAGTCAAAATCGTGTAATCTGACACAGTGACTATTGTGACCGACAAAAATATTGTGTAGTCTGAACCCGGCATAACAGGTGCGACAGAGCGGTCCTTTAAAGACGCAATTGTGTGACGTGATAGTATGTCCCAATGCTTGCCTACTGTTCTACTACACACTCAAAAGTGTGTACTTTTTCTTCACCAAAAGAGTACATACTTTAAGGGTGTAGTATAAATTGGCACATTGAGACGCAGCAATAATCTGCACAAACCTCTGCTGAACCGTGACTTGAAATGTGGTCTCGCGCTGATGATGTAACATCCAGGTAGGCACGCCCACAGCGGGTTATGATTGGTCGATCGGCAGGCTCAAATCTGATTGGCTAAAGAATACAAGTGTCCCGCTTGGGAGTAGTTCGCTGCCAGGAAAGTCTCAAAAATACACACACAAATTCAAGGTGATTCACACATTCACAGTCCATGATGAACTCGTGAATTTTAAACATTAAAAATGTTTGTACACACTTGTACATCTGTGAATTGTGTTTTGCATTTGTGAAACGTATTTTATGAATATATATTCGCATTTTGTGCACGTGAATTGGTTTTTGTGATTATATATATATATATATATATATTCGTGCACGTAAATTGGGTTTCATGCATGTGAATTGAGATACGCATGTGTGTATCATGTCTTTTGCGTGAATTATTATTGAGTCTAATATGCTTCCATAAAATGGCTACTACTGAAAATGGTAAATTCCTACAAAATGCAATAATGTCCAAAAACCACTAGATGGTGCCTAATGACCCCAGTTTGTTCGTTCTTTCTTTCTGTTTTCAAATGTTTGAGTTTAAAATCTAATTTAAACCATATTCAAATCATGCTGGAGAACATGCTCATCAG